TTAGAGATGACCCGGTGTCCACCAAAACATGGGACATAACAACTCCAAGACATTCAATCGAAATATGCAACGCGCTGTTGTGATTCCTGCCCTTTAGCGTCAACTCTAGGTCCATAAAACCAAGACTGTTCCCTGCGTTCACGTGTGCGACAACTCCTTCGAGTTGGTTTACTGAAATCTCTTGAGGCACGTACGCAACGTTCAATATCCTTAGTAATGCATTTCGATGTGCTTCCGAGCATAGCAACAATGACAATATAGAAATTTTAGAAGGCATTTGCTGCAGATGGTCGACTATCTTGTAGTCGCTCTTCCTTATTAGCCTCATAAACTCTTCTACATCTTTTGCCAACAGTTTTTTCTCTCCAGCCTGAGAGGTTTCTTCCATGACCATTTTACCCTTTCCTTTGTCTGCTTTATCAGCCACCACTTCGGGTGGTGAAAAGACTCGACCACTTCGGGTAATTCCTCCTGCACCCACCAGATTTTCCACTGACTCAACGGGTGGACTCTTCAACTCCAGCTTCTGTCATGCAAAATCCATTATCTTATTAAGTACTTTGAAGTTGTTTGAAGATGAGAAAGAGAGAGAGAGGACAAACTAAAGGGAAACTAGTTCAAAACCTAATAGTTGTCATGCAAAATAGCCCTAAGGTTAGGATTGAGAAGGGAATTCTATCCTATTTGTTATCATGCAACAGATTCAACCCAATGTCTATCATCACTATCCTTAATCATGGTAATAAAAAGAAAAGAAGCAACATACAATACTTGAATTGGAATGTGAATATGAATGGATGCACATGCAATGCAACATTACAAGCAAAGGGAGGACACCTCAACCTTTAATTCAAACAAGAGATACACAAAGAGAAAACACACAAGCAATGGAGGAAATTGTGTGGGGTAAAGACCACCACAAGCTCATCTCAACCTTCAAATGTAAGCAAGAAAAAGAGTGTAAAACACACATTAAACAAGTGCAAACAATGCCCTAAGGCCTCCAATTTGAACATGGGATGAATCATAATCCAAATGAGAAGTGGGAGAAGAAGAGAAAACATCCATGGTATCCCTTGTGTCACTCAACCAAAGTCTCATAATGACTTGTGCAAAAGATGCACAAAAGGTGTCCTCATGGTTCACCATTCAAGTCAAGCTTCAAATACCTCCTAAGGAGGGATTAAGCAACTTTAAATGGTGCTCCAAGGTCCTTAGACATAAAGGGAGATGAAAGGAGAATGTACATAATGCATTTGAAAAGGAATGTACAAGAAATTGCAAGAGAGTCATCTTAAGGAAGTGAAGATCATTCAACATATACACATAAAAAAACCTAAATGGAAAAGAAATGAAAATAGGAAAATATTTGGTGTGAATAGCAACTGAATCAAGTGCAAATCAATGGGCTAACACGCAGGGGGTGCAGATAGCTAATCAAGGCCCAGTCCAATCAAGCGTTTAATGAAACACTGAGTTTTAGTGTAAGCTGGCTGGTCAAACTTTCAACTCTCGTGGAAACGCGCTCGTGGCCGTTGGATCGTTCAAAATCAATTAGTCTAACAAGATCGGGCAAGGACACGTGGATGTGAATGTTTGAACATGAACGAGGGAGGGGAATTGAAAACGTTGGAGCACGGTGGCTCCGGTCGTCTATTCCGGTAGCATCAAACTTGCAGGTGTACCAAAACCTCACAAAAACTCACAAACTCTTAGCCTAAATTCATCTACTCTCTTCCTAGGTCACGAATCCATGGTTCTTGTCCACCAATTCATTCTAAATCTGCCAAAACGAATCAAAACAAAATTAAGCAATCTCCAACAATTGTCATGAAACTTCATTAAACCTAACCAGAATCCATTTATAATGCTAGGAGATCATGAATATGCAAGAATGGTGTGTGATTGTGGCATAAACAAAGTGAATTTTGGACAATTGAGTTACCTAACGGAATAACTCCGTTGGACCTTGAATACTTGCCAATTCTTGATGAAAACGATCCAGAAAGCTTCCACAATCTTCAATGGAGATGTCAGTGTGCTTAATTTTGCTTGAAACTGGCTGAATCCAAGAATTCGATTCTCACTTTCTCTTGCTCGTGTGTAACTGTTTTCTCCCATAATTTTGCTCCAAAATCAATTCTGAGAGTTTGTGAATGATGCTGAGAATATATTGATGGATCCAAATGCATATAAAGCCCAATCCAAGCCCAGTTTGATCCAATGGAAATCCAAAATTTTGGTTATGCAAGCTTCACTATATGCACGAAAACAGAGCTTCCAAGGCTTGTTTCTTCATTCATTTAGCTTGCCGGTAGTGTATATTGATCCAATGGCTAAGAATTGTTCCTCAATTTAATCTCATGGTGTGATTTTGATATGTTACTTCCATTTGAAGCAACTTTGAAATTGGACATGTTTTTGATCTCAAACTCCAATTTTGGAATTATCATCATGCTTAGTATGCCTTGTGGACTCAAAAAATGCACTAACTTGATAAAAATTGGTCCAAAATGAATTTATTTGATTTTATGGCTTTTAATGTTTTTTCATGAAAATTTCCTCCACCAATCCTTCAATCCAAGCTAATCCAATGATAGGTTGATGTTTAATGATGAAAATGACCCCATTTGGAGCAACTTTGATGTTGGCAAAAGTTTCATTTGAGGTGTGCAAAGTTGTGAAATTGACCTATAATAAAAAATGACCTATAATCAAAGTTTCCCAAAATACCCCTGCCTTGCAAGCTCCATATCTTGAGCTCTACAAATCAGATGAAAGACTTCTAGTACTTTTTGGAAAGCTAAGACCATGAGGAACAACATTCATGTTTGGATCAAATTAAGGAGAGACATCCTTCTAGGTCAAAAATATCTTGGAAGTTGGTTGACTTTTGTTGACCAAAATCACATTCATCTGATGACCTGTAACTTGCCAGCTTCATAACTTGAGTTCTAGAAATCAGATGAATGACTTTTAGTACTCAAAAGAAATCTAAGAACATGTTATACAAGTTTCATGTTGGGGTCAAGATGAGATGAGACTTGTATCTTGAGATATGTGTTCTTGAAGTTAAGCACTAAATAGGGGATTTTACACTGACAAGCTTAGAAACCCTAACTTAGCAACTTCTCACACTCTTGATTCTTCTTGATTTGATCTTGGAATATCATCTTAGACATCTCAACACAACATTCCATGATCACAAAGACTTGGAATTGAGTATTAATCTCCTTTAATTCAACAGTTGACTTAGGGTTAACCAGATGGAAACCCTAGTTGCACCACCTTGGACTGTGGCTCCTTATACTTGATATAATGACTTGCACAAGCCCCTAAATGACCCTTAAGACATCCAATGAGCTTATATAATGCTATCCATCCATGACCATGGACTTAATATCATCTGATGACTTTCATTTGGACCCCAAGGTAGAAGATACACCAATCTTAACCATCCACTCCTTCAATGAGCTTTGACTTTCTTCTGATGGTGATAAGCACTTGATAGCTTGAATACAACCTCTTACTAGGCACATCTCTCTCAATCCCTTATAAATGGAAGATAGTATGCAAATGCTAATGCTACATGAATGCAATGAAACATAAACCAAGTAAAGAAAAGGTTGGGCAAATTTTGGGGTGCAACAATCATTGATTTGGAAGTTTGGAACCAGACAAACATGATCAAACTACTATGGAACTTGAGTGGAAAAGCAGACTCACTTTGGGTCAGATGGGTCCACGCTTACTACTTGAAAAATCAGCACCTAATGAATGTCGAAAGCAAACCGACATATACATGGATCATGAAAGGTATTCTCAAGCAGAGGGATCAGATAAATAATATGGAAGAATGAGAGGAAATGAAAAGCAAGAACAGGTTTGACATGAAAAAAGTATACAATGTGATACACAATTATGATCAAAAAGTGAGTTGGAAGCACCTAATGTATGAAAATGCGGACAGACCCCGAGCTTGCTTTATTCTATGGCTTGCCTGTCATAGAAAATTGGCAACTAAGGATAGGTTGTTCCGTTTTGGGACGATTGATAATATAAAATATTGTTTCTACACAAGTGACGAATCAATCAATCACCTATTCTTTGAATGCCAAACTATGCGGGAAATCTGGATGGAGATACTAGAATGGATCCAAGTTCCACATATTCCTGGGGATTGGAACCAAGAACTTAATTGGTTAATTCAAATAGGAAAGAGAAAAAGTCGAAAATCCGCCATGCTCAAGCTTGCCTTTATAGAGACCATCTATGCATTGTGGAACCTTTGAAATGGGAAAAGTTCTGGAATCAAAGACAATACCATTTATATAGGCAAAAAGATTATATATATAATGTATTGGAGCTGGAATAATCTGAATCTTAAAAAACACATAGCTCGTTTAATATTGAGCTGAGTAGTGATAGTTTTTTTGTTCTCTCGAATTCTAGCGGCTGGATCTATAGGATCGCTTTGTATAATTATGATTTTTTTTAGTTAATCAAAGTTTATCATATATATATATATATATATATATATATATATATATATATATATATATATATATATATATATATATATATATATATATATATATATATATATATATATATATATATTATTTTTTCTTATTTTTTTACTCTTCCTAATTTTCAATACTAAAAACCAAAACAAAAAACCTCCAAAATTTATTTTAATTTTTTAGTTTTTAAAATTTTCAAACAGAAAATAGTTTTGAAAAATAGTTTTATAAAACTAAACTACCAAACAATAGTTTTATAAAACTAAACTACCAACCAAATTTTATAATTTTTAAATTTTAAAAACTAAAAAACAGTTTTACAAAACCAAATCAAACATACTTTAATTTTTATTACCTTATCATCTTGTTACATTTTCAAAATTGAATTTTTAATTTTTACCGAAGTTGAAAAACCCTAACAATCTAAAATACCTCTTTTCTTCATTACAGATTTTACGTTTCATTTCTGAATTCGCTATGGCCGATTCTATACTTTCCCTAAACCCTCCCAAGACCCTACACAGAGTTCAACTCAGCAATCCCATTTCCCAATCCACGTCTATCTCCCGAACAAGAATCACTTTCAAACCAAACCAATTCCGAATCCCACCTATTCGTGCTACAATGGCGCGAAAAGAAGGCGAACAGAAACCTTCGTTTGGAGATACTTTCCTCAACAACACTCGCAAAAACGAAATTTTTGATTCCATCACAGCATCCCTCTCTAATTGCCTCTCTGAAACTAACCTACATTTGACCGTTCCTGCTCTCAAATCGAAAATTCGCGGCAAAGTAAGTATAGCATGCTTCAATCATTGTTTAATTTTGCTTAGTTTTATGTATTTGGGATTCGTAAGTAGTTAATGAATTGTTGGCAGGTTCGAGATATTTATGATAGTGGGGATTATCTTGTGTTAGTTACCACCGATCGCCAGAGTGCTTTCGATAGGGTTCTCGCTTCCATTCCTTTTAAAGGCCAGGTCAGAGTTTCTTTCATGTTCGGTTCATTTACTTGGCATGGTGTTTGTAGAGAGTTAAAGGAGCATCCAGTGTAATTTAGTTATACACTAACCTTCATTAACAACTCACTATTTTACCGCTTAGTACAATTAATCAATTTCAAAATAGACTTGTAAGATTGGGATAATGTGGTAAAACAATGAACTTTCATTAGATGTCAGAGTAAAACCGGTTTGCATTGATAGTGTATGTCGTTTCAACTCTTGTAATGAAATGTTCCGACAATCAACATGCTTTCATACCATTTGCCTTTGACACTTTTGGTTTTCTAGCACCAAAAGCAGTTGTTTATCTTTTACAGAGTGTAAAGATTCATTCATAGCAATAGCAATGTTGTGTCTCCAAAGACAATGAATGCAGTTTTTAAGAAGATGGGTTTTGCCATCCAAAAAGGGATAGTGGCGCAGCTTGTTGCCTGTTTGCCTGCCTTTTCTGTATAATTTTGACTATATTAAATATGAATTTCATACTCAAATCCTTTGTATAATTGAATATGTGATGGAAAAGTAGCTAGATGGTATTGAAACAATGGAACCTGTAGGAGTAACTGTCTGATATTAGTTATGGTTAGGAAATAATTAGTTCAGAATTTATGTAATGGCAATTATTAGGAAGTTAAGATTAGAAGATAACTTGTGCAGTCACTTAGTAGTGTGTATATGATAAGTAGGGTAGGGTCGGAAAGGAGGTTGTTGTTTTGTATTTTGGATGGAGAACACTCACTACACGGCAAGTGTATTACTATAATATCTGTAGTAGGAAAATCAGTCTCTGGGACAATAATTGTATTTTTTGTAAGTTAGTTTGCTTAAATTCTGTTTCCTTCTATTTAAATTAGTGTCTACCAAAACCTATGTGGAAGATCATTTCTACCTGGTGGATTGATGATTATTAAATATTTGGTGGCATTCAATAAACTGATTGTTTTATCTTGCAATTGCAGGTTCTCAACGAGACAAGTCTGTGGTGGTTTGAGAGAACAAAGCACATAGTTTCTAACGCAGTTGTATCGGCTCCAGATAAAAATGTTACAATAGCAAAGAAATGTTCAGTTTTCCCTGTTGAGTTTGTTGGTGAGTTCATTGCTGATACAAAGTTGTTTTTTTGCCTGTCTATGGTTATATACTTAAATAATCTGTGTAAAATAGTTGCAATCATCATTCATAATTATCTGAATTTACTAGTATCCACATGTTGTCTTGTGCCTTTTCTTCTTTGAAATTACAATTTGTTATTTAAAGTGTTGTAAAATATTTCAATTATTTTAAAAGTAAAAAAATTGAGGACTCTAGTAATCATCCATTGATATATGTTGCTGGTTTGTAGCTAGAGGGTTTGTTACTGGAAGTACAGATACGTCTTTATGGACAGTGTACAATAAAGGCAATCGTAACTACTGTGGAAATATCCTACCAGATGGTGAGAATCACGATCTCAAATTCTTTTGTAATTATTAATTTTTTTATCCCCTGTGTAATAGGATATTAACACATGGCAGGAATGGTTAAAAATCAAAAGTTGCCTCAAAATATACTCACTCCAACTACCAAGGCTGCAGATCACGACGTTCCAGTAACTCCAGATGAGGTATGATGCCTAGTTTTTTCTTTTACTAGTTATTGTGCTATGATTGAAGTTGAGCTTCATATGCAATTGAAATGAACAATGAAAAAAAAGGTTGGATTTGGACGGAAAATGAGACAATACAAGAGTGGTGAACCATTTTGCTAGTTGATCTTCCATGTTTTCTTCCAAATTGTTACTTCCTCTAATGTTGTGTTTCCTAACAGATTATAGAAAAGGGACTGATGACTAAAGCTGATTATCTAGAAGCGAGTGAAAAAGCATTAAGCTTGTTTGAATATGGACAGGTTATAAATTTATTTGTCAAGGGAACTTCTAAAATGCATTCCCCTTGCTTTATTGCATGCTTGACTTTACCCTTTGATTGACTTTGCAGCAAGTGGCCTCGGAACACGGCCTTATTTTGGTAGACACTAAATATGAATTTGGGAAGGCAAATGATGGATCTATTCTATTGATTGATGAGGTCGAATGCTATCTTTGATACATATTGGATTTTATATATGCACTCACATGTTAACTTTATGAAGTATATATATAGAAATGTGATAAGTTTCTACGTTCCCAACTATAGGTCCATACTCCTGATTCAAGTAGATATTGGATTGCCAATTCTTACTTGGACCGCTTTCAAAATGGTCTTGAGCCTGAAAATGTCGATAAGGTGCTTTATATGCATCATTGTTTTCTTTCTTGATTGCATATTGCTAGTGTTTTATAGATGCTAAATAACTTGCTAATATTCTATAATCCAATTTTTAGGAGTTCTTGAGGTTGTGGTTCAAAAGTCACTGCAACCCTTATGAAGACGAGGTAATTTACACTTTCTAGTGCTAATGGATTGGCTTGTAGCTTTTAAATACACATCACATCATACGGGTGACTTTTATTTAGGTCCTTCCCGATGCCCCTGAAGATCTTGTTTGTGAACTGGCTTGGCGGTATGTTTATGTTTCTTTGCATGAGTTCATTTTCTCTGAAATATGAATCAAGTTGTGGTTGTTCTTTTAGTGCACAATTATTTGCCTCGATCGTTTAAACAAGCATCGTTCAATTTTTCTATACAGGTACATTTTCTTATACGAGACTATAACAAAATCAAAGTTTGAGGTGCAATCGACCGAGGTACTCCATAAACCAATATTTTCTTAATGTACATGATCTAATGCAAATAATACTAATATATCTATGTTTCTTCTTGTAGGAACCGATACACGACAGAATTTCAAGAAATGTTGCATCTGCACTATCATCCTTAAAGTAGCACTGGAAATTTAGGAGTTCACTTTAGCACTGTATTTTTAAGTATCCCATGGTAAAATATATTATAAATAATCTAAATTAATCAGGGAAAGCGTCAGAAAATAAGTTTTTAATTTTCTAATTAACATAACCTAATAAAAGAGCTGTTTTTTGAAAGCGGGATTAAATGAGTCCTTTGCTTTGTATTTTAGCTGGTGACAGCACTCTAACAATGAATATTTTTTGGTCTGTAATCTGTATGGTTTCTTATATTTGTGAAAATGATTGCTTGTAAGTGTAGTTCAGTTATAACTTTAGATAGAAAGAATGTATTATGTCAGCATAAAATATATTTTTATCACATCACTCCACTAATATAATGGCAGATTGAAAAATGTGGTTTCTTATTCTATTTGTAGTATAAAACTATTTTGCACTACTATAAGTTTATTGAACTTCTTTCATAGGAGAAACGAACGTTCTCATCATTTTGCTATGACAGCCTTAAACTAATTTCTGCCACTGCAGTAATACAATTGTTGAATAACAATGGGTACCCTCTTGTCCTTGTTGCGTGCGAGGTTGATTTATCTTCTTTGTTTGCCTCCTTTTCTGTTTTGTAGGATGGGAGTGTAAATAGTAAAAATGTCAAATAGGCCCGCTTAATTTTGGCATGACAGACTTGATTCAATAAGGGATTATTCAACACACCCTGTGACTAGGGGTGGTAAAATGGATGGATTGGATGGATATGAATTGGATTATTAATGGATGGATCAAAGCAATTCATTAATCCATTAACAATCCACTAAATTCTCTTAATAAAAATTCAATCCAAACCATCAATTAAAAGATAAAATTCATTTAATTCATCCATTAATATATTTCTAATTGATGGATATTCATCCATCCAAAAAATTAATTTAAAAATTCTTAATTTAATAAGTGACAACATAATATCCAATCCATATTTAGTGGATGGATTGGATTAAATCCATTAAATTATTTTTTGTCTTATGGATGGATTGGATCAATTGGATGGGTATTATCTAAATGGATTTCATTACCACCTCTACCCGTGACTTACTCACACACTATTGAAATTCTAAAAGTATTTATAGAATTCAGATTTTAAAATTCAGACATACTAAATACTCAACAAGCTTTATTTGAATACACAAAACAAGTGTTAAGAAGATTGAATTTTAGAATCTAGTTTTTTAAGTTATAGTAATTGAACTTCGGATGCGTCTCAGTGCACATTTTAAAATAAATTTGGTTTCAATGTTCAGAATTCCTATAGATTAGAATCCAAATGCTCCTATTTAAGTTTTCATGTGGATTCAACTTTGGTAGGGTCAGGAGATGAGAACCACACACTTGGACGTCAACATCTTGATAAAAAAACGACTTATAAGGCACGAGGTTGTGCGGGAAAGAAGAATGATACAATGAAATTCACGATGTTATGATTTCTATTGGAACTAATCAAGCAATGATAAAAAGTGATGTGTTTCCATGATATGGATTATCTAGTATCAAATGCATATGACAAAGTCTACGTCGATCTGTCAGGATATGGTTTCTTAGAAACTTTTTCTCCAATACGAAACGGCCAACCAACAAACCATATTAGATGGATTTTCTGTATTGCATGGCTTTAAAAATCTAGGCATTTTGTATAAGTTTATTTGAAATCTGTCTTTATCACAAACATTCACATTGTATAAGTTTATTTGAAATCTATCCACTATCACAAACATTTACAGAGTAGAAAACTCATGCTAAAAAATTAGCAGATAAATGGAAGATTTCTTTTTTGATAGGATGGATTATCTTTAAGATTCATATGTTGACAATCTTAAAGATTCATATCCTATGACTATGGCTCATATATATAAACAAAGAGGAAAAAAAGATATATACAAGGGAAAGGGGCAACGAAAATTCCAAAAAGGACAAAAAACGAAAACAACACGAAATATGAAAAATAATATCAAGGGAGACTAAACCGATCTCTTAAGAAATCATCATTTATATATAAACGCGTGAACTATATTCCATCAAAATAAAGAACTCACCGACAAAATGGATAAAATTGAAAGATAATCTAACTAGAAAAAGTCTAAGGTTGAACCACCCATATATTTATGCAGTGACACAATTTTTAATGTGTTTTAGTTTGTATTTTACAATATGCGCATAAATTTTGGAATTTTTAGAATGTAACATCGACATCGTTTTGACGCATTTTAGTTTGTATCTTATATTATATGTATAAAATTTGGAGTTTTTACTATGTAAGATTAACACATTCTTTTATGTATTTTAGTTTTAAATTGTTATTAATTGGTTAAACATGTGTTGGTTTTATAAATAAAGTGTGTCATAAAAACACAATCTAGACACATCTTTGAATCAAATAAATAACACTTTGACATACATGTTTGCAAGATAAAGGTGTCAGAATAACACGATCCGAAAACATCCTTGAATCAAGTAAATAATACCTTGACATATAAGTTTACAAGACATTTTGACATACATGTTTGCAAGATAAGGGTGTCAAAGTAACACGATCCGAAAACATCCTTGAATAAAGTATATAATACCTTGACATATAAGTTTACAAGATATTATGTGTTTTGATAACACACGCTAAACATAACCTTGTTATAACCATACATATCATATAACGCAACCAAATTAGTATACAAGATTGAGTGTGTCTAGAGAACACTATTCAAACAAATCTTTAAGCCAAGTAAATAACACCTTTACATTTCAGTTTACAAGAGAGAGTGTCATCGAGTAACATTATCCGGACACACTTCTGAGACAATTCATAACACCTTGGCTTATGAGTTTACATGACATTGTGTGTGCAAATAACACTATATAGACAACCCCTAAACACACCTTTGAGTCAAGTCAATATCACTTTGACATATAAGTTTGCAAAATAAGGGTGTCTGAATAACATGATTCAGAATACCCATGAATCAAGTTAATAACATATCGACATATAAGTTTATAAGAAATTGTGTGTCTGGATAAAACAAACCATACACACCCTTGTAATAAAATTACATAACATAGAGTTCAACCACATCAGTTTACAAGACCAGGTATGTCTAAAGAACATTATCTGAACAAATATCTGAGCCAAGTAAATAGCACCTTAAAATTTCAATTTATAAGAAAAGGTGTGATCGAATAACACTACCTAGAAACACCTTTGAGATAAATCATAACACGTTATCTTATGAGTTTACACGATATGGTGTGTTTGGATAATACTATCTGGATAAACTCCTAAGACAATACATATCTCATTGGCTTATCAGTTTATCTGACATGGTGTGTCCACATAACTCTATCAGAGCAAGCTGTCGCTACTGCGAAAATCGGCGCCGGCTTGGCAGGAGAGTCGCCACCGTGCGTTATTTATCCCTCAGAGCAGGAAAGGAAACGCTCGAAGTAAACCTCGCAAAGACGGGAAAAAGGTATGGTCATCGCAACCAAAACCTGGATTCGGGAGTCGGTTACGCAAGGGGAAGGTATTAGCACCCCTCACGTCCGTCGTACTCGACGGGATCCACGCTTGATGTTTATAAGGAAAAGGGTGTATTATCTATCTACGCTAATGGTTGGCCTGAAAAGAAAATAAAAGGACAGGACTCGACAGAACATACGGTGTTCTGGGCCTACGTATTCCCTCGTGCAATGGGAAAGTCAGAGTCAACGTAGTTCGACTACCTACGTCTAAACGGGGAAAAGGTTGCTCGCCAGGACATCGCGTCCTGTGCCTACGTACTTCCACACAGTATGGAAGATCAGAGCAAACGTAGTTCGACTGCCTATGGGTAAACTGGCGCTCTCACACAGCAGTGAGAAAACAAACTGGTCTCTAAGGTTCGGGAACCTACAACTACGATCTGGTCTCAAATGCACTCGGGCAGGAGAAAGGGATAACAATTAGTCGTTAGCGGGAAAGTCTCGATCGCACAGCCGCGAGAGAACAAAGGTTAGTCGTTAGTGTGCTCGCTAGGATATCGCATCCTATGCCTACATATCTTCGTCTGGTACGAAGAATCAGAGCAGCTGTAGTTCAGCTAACTACGGATCAAGCTACTCAAAAAGCTCCTACAGAAAGGAAAGGGAAACCCTAGAACTATAGCTGAGAAACAGGGGAATCTACCTACTGCTATCACACCTGGTTGACCATCCTAATGTCTATCATAACGACTCCGCAGCGGAGAAGTCAGAGCTCCTAAGGGATCATGGCAACAGGATTAAACGGCAAACAAGAATTAACTACAAAGTAAAGAAATACTACAAATATGCATACATGCAACAACTACACAAACAAGGCGCAAAGGCCGCAAACCACAGAGGTAAGGGAGCTCAGCTCTACCAAATACCAACAAGCAAAGCCACGCAATAACAAACAAGCAGAAGGAGGACCACCTCAACTTCTCATGCACACAAAGTCTACTTCTAAGATGCACCTACTCAGAACTATCTAGATGGACACCTAAGTCTAATGCAACATAACATCACACCAGTCAAACAATACGAAGAGAAGGCTAGCTAACCTGACAAGCCTCTATACAAGACCTGAAACAAGCTCCTAATCTATCTCTAAACAAAACCCTATGCAACACCTTAAGCAAAGATCTAAGCAAAAACTCTAATCAAAACTCCTAAGCAAAAGGAATCAATCCCAGCCTCCAAGCTTCAGAACAAGCTTACCAGAGAAAGGGAGCTAAGCAGACAAACTCATAGTGCCTTCCTCAGGAAAGTACCAGGAGGTTACTACTCAGGAGTCATATCCTATGCGGCTCGACAACTGTGATCAGTTTACATTCCTCCTCAGGAGAAATTAAACTCACATGAAGGCTCCGGCATCACTGGATATTTGAGAAAACCTATATGCACTAAGGGAACTAAGTGAACAGACCCATAGGACCTTCCTCAGGAAAGTACTAGGAGGCTGACACTTAGGAATCGTATCCTACG